CTCATTTTTCCGTCCCTTTCAAAGAAAAAAAAAATAGTGTAAACTCAACGTTAAAAATACATCTTTGACTTATAAACATTGTTGCCATTTGAAATGCTAATTTTTTTTAACTGTGCAGAAAAATATTTTGTTTGACGTTTGCCGCGATAACGTATGATTAGTTGGTTTTCCCTTTCTCGGACCCCAATACACAAAACGTAAACATTTGTACTTTTAATTCTGTTAAATTCGCCTGAATGCACAGGCACTTGGGGTATGGACCCCCCCCCCTTTCCATTTTTTGTTCTTTTTAAATCTGGGGTCGAGTCACCTTTTTTCCTATTTTTGTATTCTAATATACACTGTATGTTATCAATAATGTAACTCTTTTGTCTCTATAAGCTGTTTTTAAATATATCGTTTTCGACTGATACATAAAAAGAGAGAAGGCTTGCAACTCTTTTCTCATCGTCTGCCTCACCTCGCTTCAACTTCGCCTGATTATTTATCGAAAGAATAAGAAAACATGGAATATGCATATATCAATAAATTCGTTATACATTCTTCTTCCTTTTCATATTTCCATTTAATTTTTATGTGCCCCCGATTTGTAAATATTTCGATTAAATCATCTGCATCTAGGGTAAATTTTGTTGATGTGCACCAGCTGGGACGGAAGTGCAATAACGGTAACTCTAACTTTATAAATGTTCTACATTAAAAAAAATTCCAGGCTTTGCAATAACAATATTGTGAAATTTGGTTGTCTAGGTCGTCTGTTAAAAGTTAATCTTCGTCCATTAGAATTTGCTAGTTAAAGTTATCTTGTTATTCACAGAACTTACCGTTACATGCTATATGAAGAGAAAATTCGGGATTAATTCCTTCTCTCATTTAATGTTCCGAATGACATTACACGTAATGATGATACCCGAAAATACCGGGCACTTCCGTCCCAGCTGGTGCACATCAACAAAATTTACCCTAGATGCAGATGATTTAATCGAAATATTTACAAATCGGGGGCACATAAAAATTAAATGGAAATATGAAAAGGAAGAAGAATGTATAACGAATTTATTGATATATGCATATTCCATGTTTTCTTATTCTTTCGATAAATAATCAGGCGAAGTTTAAGCGAGGTGAGGCAGACGATGAGAAAAGAGTTGCAAGCCTTCTCTCTTTTTATGTATCAGTCGAAAACGATATATTTAAAAACAGCTTATAGAGACAAAAGAGTTACATTATTGATAACATACAGTGTATATTAGAATACAAAAATAGGAAAAAGGTGACTCAACCCCAGATTTAAAAAAAAAAAAAATGGAAAGGGGGGGGGGGTCCATACCCCAAGTGCCTGTGTTCACGTGGTACAAATAAACAGATCTAAGATTGCTCCAGTTCGTACGACCCTTGATTTTCCGGCAGATTCTAATTACGTTAATTTTGTTTGAGTAGAGAATATTTCTCAAACTGCTTACATCAACTTTATACCCTATTTCTTAATGACATATTGGGTAAATTTGGATGAAATAGCACACATTTTGCAGCCGTACTGTCGCTTTAAATCAAACTGACACACAAGACAAACAGACTTCGTAGCGTAGGATAACGCGTCCAGTCTTACGCCTAACCGTGAGCATTGGAGAAAGTTCGAATCATATGTGAAGCTTTTTTTTTCTTTTCTCACACACCTTTATAACATTGATGAAAAATAAATTATTTCTCAATAATTCATTCAACAAAATATAGGAAGAAAGTTTGTGAAAGATTATATTGACAATATAATTTTTGAAAAATATAATAACTTTTCATGAACTTTTAGGATTAATAAATGTCTTCTCTCAGGGCGGGGGGTCGTCCGCGCCTTGAGAGCCTTCATTCTTTCTAGCATCAGGGTTACTTTTTCAACATTTAGGCCATTCCATGTTTTTTCTATGTTTAGCGTCCATTAACGGTTTGGTTTTGAGGTTATAAAATTAAAAACAAACACAAATTAAAATCTAGAAATATACAAATCCTTGAAACGCAATTTACTCTTTTGGGATCAGCAACTCTCTTTAATATTAAAATGTGTACCAACAATGTTTTGTTTCAATTAACTAGTCGTTGAACTTAGTTACCATACGAGGAGAGTTCTCAGATGACGATAAGAATTTCTAGAATTGTGTTTAAATTGTTGTGTTTTTCCCCTTTTGGTTTGTGTGTTTTTCCGGATAGAGAGATACACCTGTAGGTTTTCGAATTTAGGGTGGACGCTAAACAAAAAAAAAAACAAGAAGTGTTTGTGAAACACTGATACCCCCGTATGGCAACTTATAGCAAAGGTTTAACTTTCTCAAATGGAAATCAAATGTGCTGGTACCCAGAGGAAGGTCTTGTCTCGAGGAATATACCTGTGGTAAAATATGAAAGCCCTAGCAGCAACCATTGAATAGATATGGAAAAGGTTAAATTTTTTTCAAAAGTATGTCAAACATCAAGGTCAAGGTCAAATGGTCAAAATTAATGGTGCCCAAGGAAAGGCCTTCTCCCAAGAAATACACAGGTGAAGTATGAAAGCCGAAGCACCAATCGTTCAAAAGTTATGACCAAGGTTAAAGTTTTTCAAAAGTAGGTCAAACTCAATGGTCAAGGTCAATAGATTACAGTTGTTGGTATCCAAAGGAAGGACTTGTCACAAGGAATAGACATAATAAATATGAAAGCCCTAGCACCAACTGTTCAAAAGTTCTGTCCAAGGTCAAAGTTTTCCAAAAGTAGGTCAAACTCCAAGGTTAAGATCAAAGTTGTTTGTATCCAAAAGAAGGTCTTGTCACAAGAATTACATATGTGAAGTATGAAACCCCTAGCACCAATTGTTCAAAAGTTATGGCCAAGATTAAAGATTTCCAAAAAGTAGGTCAAACTCTAAGGTCAAGGTCAAAAGATCAAGTATGATGGTATCCAAAGAAAGGTCTTGTCACAAGAATTACACCTGTGAAGTATGAAAGCCCTAACACAAATTTTTCAAAAGTTATGGTCAAGGTTGAAGTTGGGTAAAATTTTGCAAAACTGGGTCAAACTCTAAGGTCAAGGTCAAAAGATCAAGTATGATGGTATCCAAAGAAAGGTCTTGTCACAAGGAATACACATGTGAAATATGAAAGCCATAGCTCCAACTAATCAAAAGTTATGGGCAAGGTTAAAGTTTTTGCGGACAAACAGAGAGACCGACACACAGACGGACGGACAGGGCAAAAACTATATATCCCCGAATCTTCGATACGAGGGCATAAAAGCTTGGAATGGCCTTATCTCTGTATCGAAGTGAAATGTAGACTTGGTTATAAAAAACGGGTTCGATTCTCGTTCGCCGCGTCGCGTCAAACCTAAGACGTAAACATACAAATTCAAATTTGATCAAACCATGACCCCCGGGGTCTGGGCGGAGCCTGCAATGGGCGATCAAAGTTTTACAAAGGAATATATAAGAAAAATCTTTACAAATCTTCTCAAGAACAGCAAAGCCATGATTGGTCACATATACTAGTATATAAAAGCATCCTCAGGTAGTGTGGATTCAAGTTTGTTCAAATCATGACTCCCGGTGGTAGGGTGGGGCCACAATAGACGATCAAAGTTTTACATAGGAATACATAAGAAAAATCTCCAAAAATCCTCTTAAGTACAGCAAAGCCATGTTTAGTCATATTTATATGGAAGCATCCTCAGGTAGTGAAGATTCAAGTTTGTTCAAAAACATGAGGTCATTTCAAGTTTTTTTTTCTCTGTTTAGCGTCCACCCAACTTTCAAAAACCTATCTACCTTTTCGCAAAAAAAAAAACAAAAAAAAAAAAAAACACAAGACAAAAAATAAAACACAAACTTGATAGTCACAACAATGACATCATTCAAGGGATTTGATTTCGTTAAACCATTTTTCTTGTAGGAAGGTCTATTCTTCAGCAAAATCAATGCATTAAAGACTTAAAATATACCTAATAAAACATATTGTAGACAAATATTTAGAGAAATTGAAAGAATTTAAAGATTTTGACCAGAATAATCAATTTCAGGACTCCTGATTTTTTTTCTGATGTGGGGTGTCAAAAACCAAAGCGCACGCGGACGCTAAACATGGAAAAAAACTTGGAATGTCCTGTCCCGAGGGCATAGTGTGGGACCACAATGAATGATCAGTTTCACATAGGAATACATAAGAAAAATCTTTTAAAATCTTCTCAAGATCGAACAGCAAAGTATATGGGAGCATTCTCATGTAAGGTAGATTTAAATTTGTTAAAGTCATGACCCCCGGACGTAGGATGAGGCCACAATGATTCACAATGGACCATCAAAGTTTTAAATAGGAATCTTTAAAAATCTTCTTCTTAAGAACAGCAAAGCTATTGATTGGTCATATTTATATGGAAACATTCTCAAGTAGAGTAGATTTATTTTTTTTAATCTTGATCTCTGGGGTGTCGGGTGGGCTACAATGGGGGATCAAAATTTTACATAGCAATATATAGGAAAGATCATTAAATATCCTTTTTATCGAGAACAACAAACCCATGATTAGTCCGATTAATACAGAAGCATTTTCAGATAGTGTAGATTCAACATTGCTCAAACCAATCAATATCCCAATCAATCAAGACTCTCGGGAAAGAGATCTGTCCCCTATATATATACACTGACGAAGTCTTTGTATACATTAATATATTTTTAAAGTAGAAAATGGCTTTTCACATGTTTAAAAATATAGAGGGGAAAGGATTTCTGCAATTGATCTAATCTAGAAACCTGTATATAAATTTACAATGAACTAAGTAATTTACGTAATTTACGCGTGATTATTTCGTTGTTGATTCTAAGCAGGGTCATTTACATATAATTCCATCTGTAGCTAGGACGAAGGACGGTATGTTACCACAGTAGATCAATCACCGACATCCTCCTTTTATCCCATACAGAGTAAGATAAATACGAATTGATTCTTTACATCAATGATATAAATAAAATCATATGCAAATTGTCTCCGAGAAAACTCAGTTTTATTATCAAAAGTGAACAGGTGCGATAAATAAGTTAAAAATAAAGATGAGACAATCTATTGTTGATTGATTCGAATCATCAAGCCAATCAGTCATTATGGTGAACGTTCTAACTTCGCTCTGGTGTATTTCTCTGGTGGGGTACATATTGCACAGCATGGCTTTGTGTCAAAGCTGGATTTCTGTATCCACTTACAGGGGGTTGGGGTTTTATCCTTTACTGTGAACGAAAAAAAATTGTGAAATCAATATTTTATAACGTCCGTACACTTCTGATTAAACAAAGAATATGCTTGCTATTGACGTCATATGCATAATTTCCTAAAGAATGGTGATTACCTGTAATAATTGCAGAAATAATACCTCATTATTTTACACAAAAGAATACTTACTCCTTGGAAATTTCTTAAAGCTAATCTCTTTTCTTCCGGAGACATCACTGAAAGGAGAAATTGATACCATTTAATCAGTTGACAATGGATACTAGTAAACTAATGTTTAACAGGTCTTGAATATCATTAAAAAATCTGCTTTGATTGTGTTGGATAAAGTATTTCAGCACTCACTTCCTGGTCTACGCGTCCTTGATCTGTTGGTGGTGACAGCAATACTTCTGGTGGTGCTTATCGGTGGTTGTTCCGTTGAGGTGGTGGTGGTGGTAGTTGTTAAACTCGAAGTGTGTTCATTGGCAGTTGTGTCTGTTTGGACCCTTTCATTAATGACAACGCGTCGTGGATTTTCGTTTCTGTTGCTATCTATTATATTACCTCTGCTCACTACCACGCGTCCTGGTCTACGCCTCCTTGCAAACTGTGCTGTGTCCATGGCTGGAAGCTGTCGCGTGGTCGATTCAGTTATTGATGGTGGTGTCGATGTTTGGATAGTTCTTGATTTTGAATTCATCTCAGTTACCATTAACGTTGGTAGTGATATTTGCTTAGGAATATTTATAGAATCTCTAGAAACTGTACCTCCAATACCATTGAGACGAATGCCTCTGGAAGACCCCCTCGAAACAGAACCTCTTCTTCCATTTGGTCGAATGCCCCTACTGTTATGACGAATACCCCTAAAGTTTCCAGTGGAAAAACCTCTGGTCATCCCTTGTTGAGGTTCCTGTGGAGAAATCCTTGGCATACTTTCTGTTGTGGGTTTTGCTGTTGTCGTAGTTGGTTTTGTGATGGGACGTGTTGCTAGTGGAGTTGTAGAATCTGTCACAGTTACTGAAATATGCTGAATAGGTGACTCAGTTATGTGCATTTCAGTTTCCGACAGGGATATTGGCGTTTTGGGGATATTTATAGTTCTTCCTGAAACCGGTCTCCCAGTCCCGATGGGTCGTCTGCCTCTTGCAGATCCCCTCGACATTGAAACTCCTCTACCACTCGGTCGAACACCTCTAGTGTTAGGACGAATACCCCTGAAAGATCCTCTGGATATTCCTCTACTTCCTTGTTGAGGTCCTTGAGATGAACCACTGGAAATTATCGCTTTAACTGGTTTTGCTGTTGTTGTAGTTTGGTCTGTGAATAGAGGAGTAGTTGGATCTACTGGGAATTCTTGATCTTTTACTTTGTTCGATTTTGTGATGTCGTTTGGTTTTGGCTTTGTTGTCACGTCTCGTGAGACTGTGACAGGTCTTAACTGTTGGACTTGTACGACTTGGATTTGTGGTTTTCTTGTTTCTTGTTTTATAATTCCTGCTGCCTGAACACCAGGTCTAGAGTGTGGATTTTTATTACGAGGAGCATCTTTTATTGCAATGTCTGATCTAGAGACTTTGGTATCATTAGAATTTTCGAGGTGATTTGCACTTGAAACTTGGTTCACTTTGTTCTGTGAATGGCTTTGGTCTTGGCTTGTACTAATGTGTTGTGTTTTATTTGGTCCTTCTGTCGAAAATGTCGGTTGTTTGGTTGATACTGTTGGTGTTATAAATTGGTTTGGAATGATATCAACAGCATGTTGGAGAGGCCTGATAGCTGGTTTGGTCTTCACCCAAGATTTCTGACTAATCTTTGGAATAACTTCTTGCTCTTTCACAATAACAGAGCTTGACGTTGTTGGTGTCTCTTCAACGATAATTTGTGGAACATCATTGATTTCGAAATCCTTGAAGTCATTTCCGAAGCCGGACTTGTCTTCAAAACCATTTTTGTCACTCAGTTGATTGTTAGATACTTCTTTGTTGCTGAATCTGAAGGATGAAGGTGATCGTCCCAAACTTGGAGCAACGATAGAAAAAGATGGCGATGGTAGATCCGATTCCTTCGTTTGCTGAATCACAATGACAGGGATACTATTGACTTTCCTGGCAAAAGCTGATTGTGATGGCTTAATGTTGTTTTTAACCACTGATTGCGGTGTGTTTATAAGCTTCGGGGTATTAATGGTAGGTGTTGAAGAAACTGGTATGAAATTCTTGGGAATGTTGGTGTTCCTATTTTGGGATATTTGTCCTAAAATTCTGTCTATGCTTTGTTCAGAAGAAAGTTTGGGTTCAGGAGGAGGGTTGAACTTAATCTTCTTCGCAATTAGCTTTGTCAGTGAACTGCCATATCCTCTTGCTGTGTTCCTGTTCATTTTGTTCGAATAGATTCTGTCGGGAGAAATTTTGTCCTGATCTTTCGGTTGAGAAATTGGTTGTGTGGGGCGGCTAGTGACTTGGCGTTCAATGGCTCTGCGGGCGAAAGCTGCCCTCTTGATCTTATTTGTGGTTGGTTTTACCGTGGTAGGCCCCATCACTTGTGTGTCAGCTAACTGTATCAGATGGCGTGGAGGGTTAGGTGGGACATTTCTTTGTATGTTTGAATTCCATACTTCTGTTTTCCCTAAAGCTGTGTTTATATCCCCTTTCATCTGTAACTGCCAAAGAGCTTTCGCTATCTGCTGATAAACGCTCTCCTCTCCTCCATAACAATCTAATTTAATATGTAAATAAAAGCTTACTAATAATGATGAAATGAAAAATTAATTTAAATTCAAGAAGTTTGCTCCATTAAATAGAAAAAAGTAAAGAAATTTTGATAAAGGAATTTCATGCAAATTTAACCCCGGGGATTCCCCATTAACGCTTTCCATTTCTCTATCTGTCATGCTAATTAATTGGATTCACACTGGTGAACACAATAATTCTCTCTAAACAAAGTGAGCACAAAATTATCTCGACATTTGAATATTAAATGTTGCTTACACGTTTCAGAGATGATCGACACAAGTATCAAAGCTTCTACTACACACAGGAGTTTCTTCATGTTGTCCTACAAGAGTAAAAAATGCCAGCACTTGTCAACAAGTTCATAAACTATATATGACATTTATGGAGGTGTCGTTTGATGGTGTACTGTCTTCCGTTTATTTAATATGTACACGTCACTTAAACAAAGATATTTTACTTTATTTTTCAAGAATCATATATTATTATCAATATTTCACTAAACTCTGAACAAAAATATTTGAAAAACTTTTAGCTACGAGTCTTGAGTAAATTCATAAAAATATACCTTACCAATCTGAAACAAATGTGTCCTTTTTACTTTTTTTAAATTCACGTTTAAATCCACTTTAAGAGATATTCCGTCAATTTTAGGCTCCAGTTAATAAGGTTCAGCTGTCAAATTTCGTGAAATCGTTTCAAAGCATTTTTTACACTCTCCTTTTGAAATTTCCTATAACACATTTATACTTCTTTTGTTTCCAGAATCACTGATGCAATAAAACAAAATTAGCAGCGCATACTTCTATTACGGTTTATTGCAGAAGTGGAGTAGCCAATACTTGTCTTAGGACACATCCGGGAGGCGTGACCCCCCAGGAGAGACGTCATAATGCTCATTCACCAAAAAAGATTGACATGACAGAATAATGACGAAGTTTTCGGCCTTACCTGGCGTATGATTTATTTCTCGGTCTTCCAGTGACCACCATCAACAAAGATCATTTAGGTTTATTTTTATTCTACTTACGTATTTCAAGGATTTAAAAGGCCCGGAAAGAGGAAATTGCAGTTTTTCGTGATTTTTTTTGGACAGGTGTTGATTTTTTTTTATTAATAAGTAAACATAACAAACGACAAAATTTGTCTTCAGACATTTGTCGCGTTAATCAACCGCAAATATGTGTACTTTGCCGGGGAAAAAACCCGTCAGCGTTGTCACTTTTTCACCTTGTCAATCAACGGCCCCTTACATTGTTTTCCCTTCATTATAACTAATGGACATGTTATTTGCAATCAGTTATCACGATTTGAATTTCACAATCGAATCAAGGATATGTTGAATCTAAAGTTATTAATTATTTATATTCTTTCTCTTTTTTTTCATACACGTGGGCAAGATTTGCTAAAATTATTGCTTTCCTGCTTTCAGTTTCGTATTGTGTTAAATTTGCTTTCAAGTTATAATTTCGACCTAAAGTTACTATAAATTTGTTCAAAATATTGACTTTCCTATGGTTACCATTTACACTTAAATATAACTAAAATAAATCCAATGCAGTAAGAATATACATTTAAAGTATATCAGATGCAAAATAAAGGTCAGGATGAATCTCTCTCTCTTTCTCTCTCTGACCTATAACTTAGAATAACTAAAAACAATGTAGGAAATTCTTGTCAATCGTACAAACCTAGTTCTTTCATTTCTACGTGCATCGCTGAATCGCTCTCTTGGTCCATTGTTTCATGTAAAACTTTTGTTTACTGACTAATCATGTTGAGAATCTTCTAACTTTAGAATCCTGGTACAGAAGAAAAGTGTACTTTCCAATTAACCGGTACATTATAAGAACTTAGTCTGACTCAGAACAAAATAATCAGATCTTTATAACATTTGACCAGAATTTAATTTCCCAGAAGTTCCCTAGATTCCAGAAAAGTGTAAAATAATTAAACATCATTTCATATACCTATTCGTCTGCTTTAATTTCCTTGTATTTTTTAAAAATTAACTTTTTTGAATTTATTAATTTAAGAATTGTAAAAATTCCAGCTGTGATGACAATAACAGAAATAAAGGACAGTAAAGATATAATACTGTACAGCCGGGTCAAATTTCTGATTTTTTTTTTTAATTCAGTCTGCAGTTTTGTCTTGGTGCCATACCAGAGCGGACGCGGTGTTGCATCATATTTCAAAGAAATCTAACAAACGGAAAGGTAGGTAAAGAATGGAATGTTTTTGCGTTGGTTTGTGTGTGTGTTTTGTTTGTTTGTTTATTTGTTTTGTTGTTGTTGTTTCTCAGACTGGTTTTTAATTTAATCATTCAGTATGTACGCCTCAACAGTCTGAAAGAATTTTTCGTAGTTTTGAAGCGATTAAGTCCATAAATTTACATATTTTTTTAACGTATTACGTTAATTTGTACTTCTCACAAAAAAGTGTTAATTAGGAACTAGTGGTAATTAGTACATGTATGGAAGCCCATTTTCAACCCATCAAAAATGTTTTTGAATTCAATATCACGAATTATAGAATTTGTTAAAACGAATTTAATTCGTTATAACTTTTTCTTGTAATTCGTACTAGCAAAAAAATTGTTATAAAAGATTTGATGATTTTGTTATAGCAATCGAATTTGACATTTAGGACATAGAAAAATACTTATTGGTTTGATGCAACAAATTGTCGAATTTGTTCAAATGAATATAATTCATTATAAGAAATTAAAGAATTCATTTGAACGAATTTAATTAATTCGCTATATTTACATTCAGTGTAATTTTCTTTATGAAATCCATTGGAAATCTACAACATTCAATACGCTACAACACATACAAAACCTTGTCACTGCACGGTCAAATACACAGTATGCATTTTCAACACTCTAGGAACACCAGAATATATATATATATATATATATATATATATATATATATATATATATATATATATATATATATATATATATATATATATATATTAGGGATGTCAATTTTACTCGGACAGCTTAGTCGAATAGTCGGAGGCTTTAGTCGAACGATAGTCGAGTACCCGTCGAAATTAAATTTAGATTAATGTTTCATGTCATTTTCCTATTTGTCTTTGACTGCTCGCCTGTACAATATTTAATCTATCACCATTATACAAAGAATTATTGAATCGTTAACATTTACGTAGTATTAAATTTATGTTACAATGTATTTGATTTCAAATATAATATATACTGCGCATTTTATCTATATACAGAATATCAAACGCTCGCATTTTTCCTCTCTTTTCATGCTGCTATTACATGTACCCGTTATTGATTTCTTACCTGAAGCCATTTGAATGGGTCTTGTAAGTGACCCGTGATTGTTAAACAAATAAAGCGTAACTCTTATAAAAACAAACAGAGCTGCAATAAATTTTACTTATGAGATTTTTTGCTAGTTGCATTACGCGAGATCTTATGGAATTGCAGGTTGAAACTTTACAATTTGGATCTGACATCTTTAAAGATGCCAATGCATGTTTGCCGAACAAAAAAAAAATCCTTTGAACAATTAACGAAGACCGGTTAAACCTTTCCCTACATTTACTCACGAGAACACTGAAAACGGAAATGTTAATAAATGAACTGAGCAGATCCATTTTTTTCTTTACCTTGAATTTAAGATTACTATTTAGCAAATTTTTAACGAATAACCGACTAAAAAATTTAGTCGATAGTTGGTATGATCGAACGATAGTCGAGTTCTCGAATATTCGTTGACATCCCTAATATATATATTATCTCAATTTAATTAAAAACAATTTCCCTAATAAATTATTGTACAAATACAACAATTGTAACCTTATATTCATAATAAAGATCAACGATATCAACAATTATGAAGAGAGAAAATATAAGCATTGAATTCTTATTTTTGGATGTCGTCGGTCTTATAACAACACCTGTCCATGCCGATAAATTTAATATAATATCGCGCTTACGCGCGGTATTTAATTTGTCGGCACGGACAGGTGCTGTTATAGGACCGACGACATCCCCACTTTTTCTGATTACTTGTATTTTGCTGTAGTAAATTTTCCTTTAAAATAGATGCTGGTCTCCCCTTCCACTTTTTGTTGCTGTAAGGTGGAGCTCTAGCAAATGCCAGAATTTGAACAGTTAATTTTTAATGCCCTTCTTCGAAGAAGGGAGGGCATATTGCTTTGCTGCTGTCTGTCTGTCGGTCTAACTGTCTGTATGTCTGTCTGTTGGTTCACCAACAGTTTCTATTCATTTTCTTCGCTAAGGTTACACATATACTGAAATGAAATTTGGTATACAGGTTTATAATAAGAATATCTAGGTCAAATTCTGTTTTGGGTACGATCGAGCAATTTTTGACAGGGTTATGCCCCTTGGACTTAGAAACATTCCAATTATTTGGGGGAGGGCATAGGTGTTTCACAAACATCTCTGGTTTTTTTTTTGTTTTTTTTTAGCTTGTCAGATTTTTTGTTTGGCAGATTGTTTGGGAAGTTGCCTCCCCCCCCCTTTTTTTTTAAACCTAAATTGTTATAATAAAATTTTGTTTTTAACATAGGACCCTTTGAAAATACTAAAATTTTTGTTTTTTCCACTTTTACTTTCAATTTCCATTGTAAACAATACATCTGAAACTCGTTCAGTGCTTGTTGTAATTGAGCAGCAAATTCAGCCATAATAATAGTCATCTACATAAGAAAGAACCAGCAATTTAAAATACACTAGTAGTACATTCTCGATCGTACTTGTTATACGTTCTAAACCCACTTCATTCTTGTTCAATAAAAAATCCTCAAGATCATTTATATACATTGAAATAAGAATGGTGACAGTTCCTCCCCCCCCCCCCCCCCGTCTTACACCGACATTACACAAAAAAAATCTGTTGATATGCGATTCATTTTCAACATAGACTTAATACCTTTGAACTGTCGCTTAATTTACAATGTTTTTTTCATAATATAATTTGATAAGTAACTGCAAAGTATATATAAAAGAGGTAATCTGTTAACGGTAATCAACGGGTTTCTCAGTCCCGATATAAAACAAACAAAATCCATAATGATTATGAGCAAGAGTGCATAATTATGATGAGCAAGGGTGCCTCTATCAAAATGGTGAGATTCCTGGCCTCTGGCTCAGGGGTTGGTGTTATGCTGGGGTGGGGGTGGGTGGGTTCTATTGATTACATAGTTAAAGTTCATTAGTTCTTTGAAAATCCTCTCTGTTCCGGGTTGAATAATACTCAGTTAAGTGAGGGTCAGGGCCCTTGGACCTCTTACTATGAGATACACTGAATAACTATCAAATAAACAAAAGATAAAATAGAAAATACACTGGATTCAAGTTGTATTAACTTTAATAGCTTATAAATACGAATGTCAAAAAACTTGTGAGACAATAATACAAATATACACGTGTAGTTAAAAAAAAATATTGCACTCAATTGTCATATGGCACATAAGTGATGGATTTTTCAATAAATATATTAACTTTGGTAGGATTTCGCTTTCTTGAATATTCCGAGGGAACTCAGATAATTGCGTTTTCCGGCGGACAGTTCCTTTCGTTTTGGTAGAGCTGCAGGTGAATTTTCGGACCTTGTCCCAAGTCGTGCTGACACCAATTCCTCAAACCTCTGTTTCTGAGCGTCTATTAAGTGGGCATCGATTCCAGTCCCACTTTCGGTGAATTCACCTGGAATTTGTCCGCCTATAATTGGTGAACCTGCGACACTTGGGTAGGCTGTAGGAGGTATAACTGGTGGTAATATATCTACAATTCCACCCCCGACTCCTTGAGAGTTATCATAACCAGGTGCTTTCCTCAAAGGGGGGTCAATTGGTCCAAATGGTGAAACGTCTGGGACAATTTTGTGTGAATTGTCATAGCTAGGGGCTTTTCTGATTGTGTCAATTGGTCCTACTTTGTGAGAGTTGCCATAACTCGGAGCTTTCCTGATGGGATCAACTGGGTTGAAAATTTCTCCGCCAAGGCCAGGAACAAATGGCGTGTTGTCTGAAATACCTTTGAATGGACTGTCGTAACTAGGTTTTTTTACGGGAGGTACAGGAATTTTATGTGAGTTGTCATAACTAGGAGCCCTCCTCACAGGATCAACTGGAAGGTCTGGATTAAAAATTTCTCCACCAACAGCAGGCACAAACGGTATGTTATCTGAAACAGTTTTGACAGGGCCATCGTAACTTGCAGGCTTATTCACTGGTGGAATGGGTACTTTGTGCGAGTTGTCATAACTTGGAGCTTTCCTCAAGGGATCCGCTGGAAAATCTGGTTTGAAAATTCCTGATTCAATACCAGGTACAAACGGATTGTTTTCGGAAACACTCTTTACGAGGCCATCGTAACTCGCAGACTTTCTCAATGGTGGTATACGAACTAACTTATGCGAGTTGTCATAACTAGGCGCTTTTCTTACGGGATGTAGTGGAAAGTCTGGGTTGACAATTTCTCCACCAACATCAGGGACAAATGGTGTGTTGTCCGGAATAACACTGATTGGTCCATCATAACCCGCAGGCTTCTTCACTGGCGGAACAGGTACTTTGTGTGACTTGCCATAATCTTGGACTTTTCTCACAGGGTCAACTGGATACTCTGGTTCAATAATTCCTCCATCAAGCCCTGGAACAAACGGGTTTCTACCGGAAACACTTTTGTCAAGGCCATCGTAGCTTGCAGTTTTCTTCAATGGTGGTATAGGAACTAACTTGTGAGAGTTATCATAACTTGGAGTTTTCCTCGTGGGATTAATTGGAAAGTCTGGATTAAAAATATCACCGCCAACACCAGGGACAAACGGTGTATTGTCTGGAACTTTTCTTACTGGACCACCGTATCTGGATGGGTTTTTCACTGGTGGTATAGGTTTGACAGAATTATCATAACTTGGCTTCTGTCTGATAGGGTTAATTGTTGAACCTGGTCCATTAATAAAAGGATTGTTAAATATTTGGCCATCATTTTTTGTAATTTGTATAGGCCGCCCATCAATGTTTTGGCCAGGAAATGGAATTGGTTGTCCGTTTATCCATGGGTCCCCAAGCGGGTCATCTGGAGTGGTATCGACCCATGATTTTCCAAGCTCTGCCCCTGGAATGTTATCGACCCATTGATCACCAAGAGGGCCCACCTGATTGTTATCGATTACCACAGGGTTAATGATATCTCCGGGCTTCAATACAGGACCTACGTTTTGTACATTCCGTGGATCTATCGGATTGCCTGGGTTAAGGATTTTTGGAACGGATCCGCTCACTTTGGGATACGAAGGGTCTTTATTGCCTGGTGAAAAAAAAAATCAGAATTAAAATTTACATTCATAATAAATACTTACCTAATTAAAGAGAGGTTTCACAGTTGAGTATATTTATATAAAAAAAAATTTCATCATCTATAAAACACAATTTTTAATGAAATTGAAATGTTTATGAAAATTACCTGCATAATTTCCACAGGACACCGCTAGAGCGCATGACAAAACGACTAGTCTAAGCATCTGTAAACCAATGATCAAATTTATTCAAAATACGAGCAAATCAACACAAGATGAATACACTATCACACATCTTTAAATGAACAACGAAGGTAACCAGCTACATGATTCTTGACATTGTTCATGCTATGCTTCATACGTCCATAATTAAATAAATAGGTTTGAAACTCTCATTTTGTTTTTCTTCTTTCTTTCTTTTTTTTTTTTTTTTAATATTTTGCATATGTACTGATACATTTTATTCAAAATTTGTAAAGGAATCCGCTTTATATTTGTCAGTTGCATTTATTCTTAAGTTCTCATGCAGAATATATAAAAGTTGACTAATGTACATATTTACTATAAACTGAAGTCTGCATGGTTGATTTAAAATTCAAAGTGAGTGGACGCATAAGGTCATAACATGATTCTATATTTTATCAGCTGTTTCCAGGTTATAGTTACATGTATTCAAAAATATTCATAAACGATCTGTTTTGGGTGACAAGCATTCAATCAAAAGACAAATGTAACAAAACTCGAGATAATGAAAATTTCTAAAATCGAATCTACAAATATTTTTCTTTTAATTGTTCATATTTTAACATACCTTATTCGGATGTTTCTTAGTTTATTTAATACTAAACTAACATCGCTAGACTTTTATATTGAACACAAGGAACTTAACAGTTGTGTGAAGATCCTATTGGTTCTTTTTCTTGCGTAAAGCGTGTGCAGAAATTTGTCACATGAATAATTTGCCTGTTTATTTTACTGAGGGTTACAAAAGAGGAGGATTTCCAGTCAGTAATTTTTACACAGAATTGAGACCTTGGGATTAGACGAGAAAACACCTACTTGCGTACATGCTGTAAAATTTGGCTTGAAATTTTAAATAGATTGGAAGAACTTTATACAATTTTGAACGATTTCCCCTTGCAGCTCCCCTTCACTATTATTACACCACCGTCCAAGATGCGTCAGTCAGTTTTAAATGCAGCACTCCTCCAGCTATGAAGACAAGCAGTTCTTATTGCCCGTCTTACGTTATTGATAATTTGTGGTCCCATCAATCTTCAGCTTAATGACAAACTAGGGTTTTGAGGCTTTAACTGACTTCATACCGATGTATGATATATGTATTTATAGAAACGTTTTCCCCTTTTAAATGATTTTTTATTAAAGGTGATGATCACCGTTAGTATTTCATATATTTAGTTTTTCACTGAACATGTAAGCTTTAGACAGAGTGATTTACATATAAAATAAAAACTGGAAAAAACTGTGATGATTAAACTGCATGTGCTGTGGGTGTCAATAGTTAAGCTTTTGTGTTTAATGTTTATTTTGTTATCATATCTAATCTACAAGACCAGTCGAGATCCAAAGGACAGATGCCGTAAAATTTTATTTTAAATATTATATTTTTGTGTGTTGTTTTCATTTATATACTTTACTTACTTTTATTTATTTCTGTATTCTTTCATTCATTCAATATAATTTTCCCCATTTTGGAGATTTATAAACAAAACAACTATTACATCATATTCAATATATCGCTCTCTCTCTCTCTCTCTCTCTCTCTCTCTCTCTCTCTCTCTCTATATATATATATATATATATATATATATATATATATATATATATATATATATATATATATATATATATATATATATATATATATATATATATATATATATATATATCTATGTATAATTTAACAACATACAACATGTACTGTATTTAAGAGCATATAGGTAATAAAAACATTTTCCTGATAAATGGTTATGCTACAAACTGGAAATGATTTCTGAGATCGGATTATAGGTAAAAATCGTATTCACTTAGAATAATAAATTATATAAACACCATCAAATATTCAACGAATATATATATTTCTATAGTTTACACTGGCGGATTTAAGGGGGGGTGGCGCCCCCCCCCCTCCTAAAATTTTCAAAGTATGACATGACTAATATTAATAATGCCATGCTTTGGTTTTTTAATTGATGGTCAATATTAAAAAATGGTAATTTTATTTAATGACCAAGTATCGGTTTTCTTAAAAATCAAGTCTGAAAACCTTGCATTCCCTAGGCTATGAATAAACCGGAAAACGTCTCCCGATTTCGTTTGAAGGGTAGACTGCACTTGTCAATTTCCTATCATGATGCAAGGAAAAATACTGCAATATTTAAAGCCTGGCTGAAGGTAAATAAATGAATTTAAAATCAGACGGTCTACGTTGCAGACCCGTCCACTGATTGATGTATTTATTTATCAAATGGTGTAACTATGCAGTAATTTACTTATATAGATACACGACTTTTTTCATTACACACATCTCCTAATCTTTCCATATAAATGGAATTTAACGTCAGGATATAGGTAAGGATGGCGTAACTTCGACCACCTGGTTAATTTCGACCGTTCATAAATACCTTAAAATAATTTGTTTATAACCCATTATAGTGTACACACATCTATTTTATGCAGAAAGAAAATGCATTTTTCATATATAGATCAATGTCATTAATAATAGGCGAAATTTATTTTTTCACTGGAAAATTACATCCAAGAAATAGAGAATAATACATGGCAAAATCTGTATCACACCCCATATCAACCCGAGACTCCAATATCAGCCCGAGGGCCAAATAATTATTTGTTTAATTTATAATTATTTCATTTCTTATCGCTGTATGCATTGCCTTTGGAAAAAATAATGAGAAAGGAAATTCAACGGAAAAAAAAGAACATATTCAATTATTAAGAATTAATTAATTTACAGGTTTATATATGATTTTTTTGACACTATTTACAAATATATAATAAAAACAACAATACATGACAAAATCTGTATCACACCCCATATCATATATTATTGTATTATTCTCTATTTATCGCCCGAAAAATTTTAAACCATTGCGGGGAATTATCAGTTTATCACCTCTGAAAATATCTTGTATAATATATAGAAAGACACAGTGGATATTCCTGGCGTGAAATTTATCAACTATGTTTAATTTTGCAACTTAAATTCATACCTTTTTAATTTCTAGTATTTAGTTTTTACAAATGAAATACAAATCAGCTGAACGGAAATCGGCCGAAGTTACCCATGCATGCATACGGTGTCAGCGGGTAACTCAGTTCGACCAATGAAAATGACGCAATGCTATTTGTTACCAGAAAAAAATCATGGCCACCGTCCATATAAAAAATTATTAGGATGAGTATTATGTACAAGAATACTCCGTAGAAACTATTTCTATAACAGTGAAAAAATCGTCTGTTCTGTTTACATGCGGTTTAGATGCCTGTGCATATATATATACATTTGTAGCTTGCCTTGACAAATCGGTAAATCAGTCTCTAGGCACCTGGTGCACTTAATGTCTTCAAATAAGGTACATTTTGAAAATTACTTTTTTTTGTCAGCATTTTTTCACAGTCTTTTATATTTTACAACAGAATAATTTAAATTAATATATATATATTTTTTAAATTAGAGATGACGCGAATAATTTCGTTTATATTTGCACATCGATCGAAAATACCCCGTGTGCGGTCGAAGTTACCCAACACACATATCTTGTAAATCGAGCACATTTATTTTATATCATGACGAATAATACATATAATACAATGTAATCTGAACAATAAAAGGTATTCCGAAGGAAAAATGATCCAGTAAAAGTTGAGCGTAATACATGTACATGTAACAGGCAGTGACATACTTGTAAATCTGATCTTGTTTTTTCGTTGTTTTTTGTTTGTTTAGTGTATGTGTGTGTGTGTGTGTGTTTTGGTGTGTGTGTGTTTAAAAGTGAAATATCATAGTGTACATAAACTAATCAATACCACTATTTTTGTGCCTGGTTTTACTCTTAAAAATCACGAAAACCCAGGAGCTTCCGGGGGGTTCGCCACCTGGGCCCCCACCAGGGCTTCGCCCTGGACCCACTGGGGGCCTTAAGGCGGCCCCCAGACCCCCAACCTGAACGCAGTTATCCACGCCCCCCCTAATCACAAATCCTGTATCCGCCCATGGTTTAGAAAAAATACACGTCTCTCCGACTCTCTCGTTAGAACTAACGAAACATGACGCTACATGGTTGTGGGAACCACGAGGGTGCGCTCCCCCCCCCCCCCCAATAATTTTGCTGATACATGTACTATACAATATACTATAGATTCCTTTATCTAAGCCCCTCCCTTTTTTTCCTTGTCAAGGAATTTTTGCTTCAAGTGCTAGTGTCTCCCCCTAAAAAACTGAAAATGCTGGGTTGTCCCCCCTCCCCCTCCCAACTGAAATTGCTTCCTAGGGGCCTGTGCTATGACATGTTGAAAACTATTTGTAAAAGGTTACGAGATAATGCACTGTTATGATTTTTGTTTTCGGCACATGCAGAAGTCCACAACCTTGCAACATGCATCAGTGTGCATGCTTTAACTATTTGCATTTCTGGATTTGTCTTGAATAAGATTGATGTTTCATTTGAATGAACAGCTGTATGAAACAAAGTCTCGATCGTAATGAAAAGAGATTGATCCATGCAACAAATTAAGCTTTTCGAAGAAATGTAGCTTTCATTTGTATGCCCGCATCTATAAATACAGGAGTAAATCAACCGGAGAAAATTTGTGAACCAAGAATGGTTCTTGCTTTCTTTTTCGATTACTATTTCCGAAATAGCGGGAAAACAGAAAAATAGCAGAAAGCACGAAGAACATGTAGATATACTTCTTGATTGTAATTTCTAATGTATCGTGCAGTTGATTTTTGAATTTTAAATTTGTAGTAATTGTTTTTAACTGAAAGAAGTCTGATAAAGAATTTTACCGTGGGTTCGAAGGAATTTAATCTTTGTTTTCAGACTGTGTGAAGACATACGAATTATGCAGTTCTCAGATTAAACATGCTAAAAGCAAGTATGGATGCGTGTAAGGTAGGTTGAAAACTACACAAGACTCCATCTTATTATTTTTTTTTATAACAAGTGATAACTAAAGTTAACTATTTCCCAAGAAAAGAAGATGGGCGAACAAGTGCGGAATATTTTCGCTAAAATCAGCAAAATAAACGCACTCGGAGCTCCCAGGGTGGCTCGTGCCTCGCACACTAGCCTCAGACGTGATCGGTTTTCTACCATTTTGCTAATCCGGTTCGAAATTCTTTCAAATATCCCTTGAAATCTGAGTTACTTTGCATCCAACTCTATGTTTCTGCTTTTAAAGAATACCCCCTAGCATAAGTTTGTATATAACATGTATGATCAAAAATATACAAGAAGGAATTTCACAAGTTAGAAAAAAATTTTTGGTGAACTTAATGCAGAGCAGATGAAAAGGCAAGTTCCAGTGGAGAAATGCATGGATTAAATTGATTCATATTCCTCCACGAATCACATCCGAGGTTAGTCCGAAATATCTGAGGTTTTCCAGGCTTTTTTCACGATTTTGATATTTTACATGCCAGGAAAACGTCAGAAGCGGCGCCATTACAAAAACTGGAAATTCGCCGCCTCCAACTGGGGGCGGCATTCTCGGGTTGATTTTCGATATTTGCGAACCGAATTAAATGCTGAATTCAAAACTTATTAATAGTACAATGTCTTTAGAACTCACCAACATCGTTTTTATGGTTTGTTTATGAAATATACAGTCCAGTGAAAACATTTTATCAGA